CTCTGCGCCCTTCTCCACCCTAGCCTGAAACGAGCTTTCCAACAAGCAGCCTTTGCACCCTCCAAGGCTCCCCAGGCAGACAGGGCAGAGCCCTGCAGCCTAGCCTGCAACCAACACCATGACCTGGCCCCTGCCAGCCTCTGCCGCCTCCCACCAGAATCGTCCTACTGCAGCCCAGGAGAGGGGGCTGGTCCCGGCAACCCAAGAAAGAGGTTGTCAACAGGAGAAAGTCTTTGGTTCTCCGGGTGGTTGCAGTCTGTGGAAATTCAGCAATTTTAACCGTGCAAAACACGGCTATGCAAAGGCTGGCCCGGGAGGACAGGCTGGACAGGGCTCCGGGTGAAGAGGACCATCCACATTCAGCATCCCCACCCTGGCAGCATCTCTCCTCCTTGCTGCTCCAGTGATGAAGTCACCACCTTCTTGCTCTTGGAAGTCTCGCTTTCTTCTCCCTGTTCTCCTCCTCTGCCCATCCCTTCTCTGACTCTCCCTCCAGTTTTGTGTCTTCCCTCTGCCCCAAGAATCAGAGGTCTGACTCCCTGGAGACAGTGTTCCTAGGACAGTGGTGTGGTTTCTGTCCCCACAAACCCCGAGCTCCCCAAGTCAGTCCCACGAGCACATCAAGTTCACTGAGCTCAGAACTGTATGCATCATATCCCCACCCCCGGCCTCCTCCCAGCTGCTCTTCCTGGTGCCCTCTTGGCCTTGCAAGTGCCCCCCGACCCAGCCGCACTTGTAGGTGCCTCGCCTGCTGATGGGGGGGTAGGAGCCCACCTCCTTCACCTGGCTATGCTGGGACCAGCCTCACTCTCTCATTCACAGGCACTGATTGAGAGCATGATGTCTGTTGGGCCAGGTCACAGGATGCTGGGCAGTGAAAGTGAGCACGTCACCGCTCTAGGGGCTCACACCGGAGAGCAGATGAACAAGTGTGTGAATCCCTGTGACCCAGGGGCCTTGTGAGTCAGGATTCCTGTGGCTTTAAAAAAAAATGCATCTTGCAGATCTGGGCTTTGTATGTTGGTTTCCTGGTAATGGAGGCATTTCAGCATCAGATGGGGGTGAATTTGGTTTCCACTAGGCTTCCCTGAGGGCAGTAGACAAAATTGCAATTTAGATTCAATCAATAAACATTTATTGAGAGTCAATTCTTTGCCTGCAGATCGTGGGCATTGTGGGGACACAAAGGGAGAGCACGTGGGAGGAGCTTACCATGGAAACCTCTCCGTTTGCCCCGCGGTGTTTACCTTGGCCGAGAAGACAAAGGACAGGAAGGTTTTTGGTGACAATGGAAGCAGAGCAGTGAGGAAACAGAGCGTCCCCTTGGTTCCCACTCGGGACATATTTCTGAGTGGGTGAGGCAAGTCTGATTTGAGGGGATAAAGTAGAAGTCCCTTCTCCTCCCCAAACTTCTGCTGACTAAAATTCTACCGTTAGAGATTTATTCCTCTGTTTAAACTTTGCCCTCCCTACACCAGTTCTTTTTCATTTTTTTTTTCCAAATGAAAATACTTCCCAAAGAGAACACTATGCCTTTACTCCCTTAAAACAGAAACGACACATAATTTGACATACATGCCAATCTGGTGGTAGTTGCCTGAAGCATTGTGTTGAGAAAGCCTCAGGCTCCATCTGGCCTCTGATGTGAAGAACGTTGATTGATTAGTAATGTCTGCCATGGATGCAAGAAGAGAGGATAGGATTTACTTTCCCTGCCTTAGAACAGAGGAGCCTAAGGGCTTTTTACCCCTGCTGTAACAGGAGAGGCTGGATCAACACTAAAAAGTGATGGAGGGGCCACTGAAGGAGGGACTTAAGAAGAAAAGGCTGTGACCGCCAGTCTCATTATGTCACCTCCTGGTCTGTCCACGGTCCAGACCCTCAGAAGCCTGCAGCAGGAAACCCAGAGCTATGTCCCTGCTCTCAGAGTGATCTCAGATGTCAACCCACCTGGCCTTCTAGCCGTGTCTTGGACCACATTCCTGATGCTTTTCTGTTCCAGCCTCACTGAACTCTTTTCCCCCAGATTTTTGAGGTAAAATGACACACACACACACGCACGCAAACTGTATATAGTTAGGTTGTACACTGTGATTTTTAAAAGGTGTACAGTGCAATCATTTAATATGTGTACACAAGGTGACGTGATTACCACAATCTAGTTAACACATCCATCACCTCACACGGGCGCCATTCTGTGTGTACATGTGGTGAGAACACTTAAAATCTATTCTCTTAGCAACTTTCAAGTATCTAATACAGTATGATTAACTGTTGTCACCATGCTGTACATTAAAGCCACAGAATTTACTTATCTGATAACCGGAAGTTTGTACTTTTTGGCCAACTTCCCCCACTTCCCATGGTAACCACTGTTCTACTGTCAGATTCTATGAGTTTGATTTCTTCAGAGTCTACATGTAAGTGAGACCCAGCAGTATTTGTCCTTCTCTGTCTGGCTTATTTCTCCCACTCAGCATGGTGCCCTCTGGGTCCCTCCGCTTTGCCGCAGATGGCAGGATTCCCTTCTTTTTAAAGGCTAAGTAATACTCCACCTTTTCTTTATCCGTTTATCTCTCCAGGGACACAGTGTGTTTCCATATCTTGGCAACTGTGTAAATAATGCTGCAATGAACATGGCAGTGCAGATACCTCGTCAAGATGCTAATTTCACTTCCTTTTGGTGTGTGTACCCGGAAGTGGGGTTGTGGGAGCACACTGTGGGATCATTGTGGGTAGTTCTGAATTTCCTGAGGGACCTCCATACTGTTCTTCACAATGACTGCACCAACTTTCATTCTCATCAACAGAACACAAGGGCTCCCTTTTCTCCACATCCTGGCCAACACCTGTCATTTCCTGCCTTTTTGATACGTCATCCTAACAGGTGTGTGGTGATGACTCATCGCGGGCTTGATTGGCACTTCCCTGATGGTTAGTGATGTTGAGCATCTTCTCATATACGTCTTGGCCATTTGTAGGTCTTCTTGGGAAAAATAGCTATTCAGGTCCTTTGCCCATTTTTAAAGTGGGGTCTTTTTTTGCCTCACTGAACTCTTTGCAAAGCCCAGATGTGCCTTGTCTATGCTTTTCCTAGACCACCTAGACCATCCACGCCCAAGGCTTCTGCAGGGGAACTCATATAACTCCATCAAGACCCAACTCAAACGTCACCTCCTCTGAGAAGCCCTCCCTGACTCCTCTACAGACCCAGCCTCTTCATGGCAGGCTTCACCTTCTATCACCCTCTCCTTTGAGGTCTCACTTTCTCATAAGACTGAGAATTCCCGAGGGCGGGGCTAGTGTTTGACCACTGTGACTCCAGACCCAGCACTGGGCCCGACACACGGCTGGTGTGCAGCGACCATTGGCTCGATGTACGAATGAATGCGCGAAGGAACAAACTTCACAGATGCCGTGCTGGTGCTGAGACTCAGCTCCACAGCCGTCTCCCCGGCTTCTCCTTGTGTTCCTACAGCAGTGCCCTGACACGGTACGTCCACCCCAGATCTCCACGGCCTAACGTCGTGCAGTTAAACCCCTCTTACAAAGACCAGTATGACTTGGCTTTGTGTTCTCCGGGTCCTTTACAGCTGGGGCTTTGTTGACCTTGGAAGGACTGCCCCTCCCAAGGTTAGATAACCCTAGAAGAAGTAACCCCCTGTGAGCACATCTTTCAAATGCAAATCAGCCAAACCAGAGCCCACCCCCCACCCCCTCCTGCAGGGGCCCTCACGCTCTGGGCCACTGACCCCTGCCCTCCTCACCAGGGACAGCCCCTGTGCCCCAGAGCCCACTGGAATGACCCAAACTAGCTGGCCCCAAGCCTGCTCACCCTGCCCTGTCCATTCCTTCTGCAGAAGCCACAGGGGGCTCTGGTCCACAGCGCCCCTCCCCCCACCTCCTGACCCACCCTGGTGCTTCCTGGTGCTTCCCCGTGTGGCCCTGCATGGCATCCCGTGCCCCCTCCCCTTGGGAGCTGTGAGCAACACATGATCTCTCCAATGGCGTCATCTCCTGACCGGGGCATTATTGTACCTCGTATGGTCTATTAACACACGACCGTGTGAAACAGTCTTCCCTTCAGTGGCTCAGCCATCCAGGCGGCTTCCCACGCAGCCCCCGCACCTGGGCTCGTGGCCCCCACAATTCTGCGGCAAGGAAGGGAGGGCGGGAACACCTCACACCAGTATTTAACTATTCCCGCCCAGAAGTGGCACCTGCCATCTCTGCCCACCGCCCATCAGCCAGAAACCAGTCACGTGGTGCCCCTTAGGCAAGGGTGTGTGGCCGGGAAATCTGGGGGTGTCTCCACTTCTGGTCTTGATCCTCCCATTCGAATTAAGAATGAATCACCCATCTGAGGTCAGCATGTATTTAGTTTAATAACTATGACATGATGTGACTGTGGAGTGCCCTCTGCCATGCATATGACCTAGTTTGTCACCAGGAAATATGGAAGCTGCATGATAAAAAAAAAGCGGAGACTCCAAGGAGATGAGGCACCAGGACTGATTGGGCCATAAATGTGCTCGGGCATTAGGGCCGTGAGTGAGATGAATGGGCCGAGGCCCAGAGAGCTCACCCGCGCTCACCTCTGTGGGCCAGAAGCAGATGGGGCCATTTGGGGACGGCTGGCTGAGGCTGGGACGTGGCCAAAGAGGAACTGTGTCTGTGCCGGCCCTCTCTAGTCAATGTCCTCTGGGTGTGGGGTGTCTGGGGCGAGAGCTAGCTTCCCCCAGGTGTCTGCCTTGTGGTTGCATTAAGCACCCTGACCGTCCTCAGGCTCTCAGATAAGCACGACCAGGGCGGGGTCAGCCAAGGAGAGAGGCACCAGGAATATGTGAATATCCAAGTGAGCGGATAATTCCAGCTTCTTTCTCCCCCAAACGTTAACTGCCGCTGCTCAAAGGTCTTAACATTCGAAGGTTTTGCCCCTTTCTTCCCCATCCTGGGGAAAACCGAAGGCCTAGAGCTGATGCACCGGGTGAGGAGGAGACTGAAAGTAAGAGAGCGCCTTTCCCAGAGGCAGGAGAGGACGTGCGGCTCCGACCCGGGCGGGGGGCCTTAAGTGCACGGCTGTATTTACTCTCCTCACACCCACCCGGGAAGGAGGTTCTCATTTCCACAGATGAGGATGCGGGGCTCAGAGGGGGTTGGGGAGCCAGCCTGGAATCACACAGGATTTCAGTAGGTGACTGACCCAGGGCCCCTTCTCCTGCTGAGATCCTCCAGGGGCCCAGCCTGCAGCTCCAGGATCCTGAGATGAAGGCGTCTCACTCCCCACCCGTAACCCACTTTAGAGATGGCCGGTAGCCGGGAACAGTACCTTCCGGAGGCAGCTGCAAGCCGCACGTTCTTCCCGCAGGAGAGCGCACCAGTCCGCAGGCAGGCACCTGCCCCAGGGCTCCGCCCGCCACTTCCAGGGTTGCTGGCTATCCCGGAAGAAGGTGGCTGGGGGGGCGCAGGTGAATGAAGGCGTTCTCCCCAGCCCGGTGTATGGCAAACAATTTTAAGCTGATATGCTGACTCACCTGTGGTTAGAGGGCTGCCAGACAGAGGTCAGAGGAAGGCGTGTGGCCGCGGGACAGGGCCTCCCGGACAAGGAATCAGAGTCGCTTGTTTGTTTAGGGTGTTTCCTCCTCCATCCCTGGGTGCCCCCTCCCCTCCCCACGTTAGAGCCCAGCCTCGTCTTGGCCCCATGAGCTCCTGCAGGGGGAGGTCCTGTATGTCGCCCCCAGCCTCGGGGGTGGGCCCTCCGTCCTCCGTATCACACAGCCCCGCCTTCCCCTTCCACAGACCCTCTCTCCTGGCCTTCCCTTCTGCGGTCTTCGCTTGTCTTCACGGTCCTCGGTTCAGAAAACCGGGGACGAAGATGAGCTGCCGGCTGCGGCGGGGGGCTGGGGGGCCAGGGTGCGGGAAGGTCCCTCTCGGGTTTTGGCAAAAGGGCTCCTGCCGTCCATGAGCGGGGGAGAGAGCGGGGCTTGGGAGGAAAGCAGTGGCGGGGCGTGGGCTTGCTCCCCACACACAGGCCGGGAGCGGGACTGCTGGGTCCCAGGGGCGCTCCACTTCCAGGTTCTTCAGGAACTCCCAGACCGTCCTCCACAGTGGCTGCACCGATGCACGTGCCCAGCAGCAGTGCAGGAGGGCTCCCCTTCTCCACACCCTCCCCAGCATTTACCCTTTGTGGGCTCTTGGATGCTGGCCGTTTTGACCGGTGTGAGGTGGTCCCTCACGGTGGCTGTGACTTGCATTTCTCTAATAGTCAGTGATGTTGAGCAGCTTTTCACGTGCCTGTGGCCATCTGCCCAAGACAACCGATTTAAAAGTTCAGTGAAAATCAAGTCAGAGAATAATGCAAATAACGTAACTGCACTTGTCTCAAACCTTGGATCTGAACATGTATACGTACCCGTGCATACAGATGCAAATTCGTAGAAAAAAGACCATAAAGGAGCAGACTGCAGTGTTAACAATGGCTCCTCTGTAGAGAGAAAGTGGAGGGAAGGGAAGGAGAGGGAACTTAACGTCATATTCTACGTTCCATTTGAAAAACATCTTTTACAGTGTATTACTGCATTGTGTGGCTTCTTTTTAAATGTAAGCCACTCATGGTCTTCAAAATCAATATATAAAAGGGTTGTGTTGCGTGAAGAAAGGGTTTCATTGTACGAGGGGCGGTTCCGCCCGCCCACTACGCCTCCATCTCCTGACCCCATTTCACAGACGCCTGCATTTCCCGGCGAGCAAAGGGACTGAGGCAGCTCCGAGGCCACCAGAGCAAGGCCAGTGCCTCCAGTTTCTCAGCCTGGACCCAGAGGAGACTGAAAACAGGACGGCTTGCTGCAGCTCGCAGACCTCCACCTGTGCAAACGTCAGTCACACGACCCCCGCCCCATTTTTTCCTACCTGGTGTCACCAGCAGAGCTCTGGCCTCTTCCTGGAGCCAGCTGCCCCAGATCCAAAGGCTACAGCCAGAGCTGTGTGTGCCCAGAGTGGGGCGCTTGTCTAATACCCACAAAAAGCACGTGGACTGGCTGTGGTCCTGGGGAAGGCGAGCCGGAGAGCTAGAGGCTGGAACAGGAGGCGAGGAGAGTGGAAGGAAGGGGAGGGGAGCTGGGGGGACAAGGCTCAAGGCCAGCCTGAGACTAGGGGCCCCGCACCTCTGCCACCATCACCTCCCCCAACACACACACCCAGAAAGTCGTTTTCCATCTCCTTCTGGCGTCCTCCAGCCAGGGCTCTAGCTTGTTCCGGTCCCAGAGCTGGCGGACCTCAAGTTCTCAGAGGAGGAGTGAAGTTACCTATGGGTCAGAATAAACCTGGAGCAAACCTCCCACTCAGAAGTGAAGCAGGGAGGAGGGCCTGGCCAGACTGCAGGCTTCAGCGGGGACCCAGCCTCTCCTGGAGGAGAGAGGAACCAGGGCGAGATGTCCCTCCTCAGACAGTCTGGAAGAGCATCCTTCAGGAGCCAAGGCCCTGAGACAGGAGACTCCAAGTGAGATACAGCAAACGTCCCTTTGCTTAGCATTTAGTCATTTTTTTCCCCAATTTCCCTTTATGGAGATGGGGCTATTTTGAAGAATGCTCAGTACTATAAAAAAAATTAAGCCAGAATTGCATATCTGGGCTTCCGGACAGCCCGCGGTAGCAAACGTGGAACGCAAAAGCTATTTATACAGTGAGGGAGTGTTTCGGCAAGAAGCTTACAAGCAGCGTTTAGAATTAATTTAGCGCCTTGTCTGCTCCAAGGACATATGCTATGTGCCGGAATGATGACACCTCCAACACCACACGTCTGTTTGATGTGGCCAGGAAGGATGGCGCAGCCTCCTGGCGCACAGACGCGGGCCCGCTCCGCGTGTCGGCGATGATCACACCCCCTCTGTGTGTGATCGCTGCCCAGGCACCTAGAATCCCAGAGGCTTCGGAAATAAGTGGGCATATGGTGTGTGTCTCAGGTTTTGGCACCAGACACAGAAAATAAACGGTGTGCGCAGCCCGGGGTCAGGCAGGGGGTGACCCTCGCTGTCTCTGCTGTCTCGACATCACACGATGTGGCCGGTTCCCAGCTCAGACGGGTTTGCACTGCAACGTCCTGTAGCCGCGGTGGGGCCGCGGGAGTTAGATGGGGGACTGGGCACCCACCTGCTCTGTAACTGGCAGCTCTTGGCAATTTTCACCTTTAAAATACTAAAAAAAAAAAAAAGGTAATTGGTACATCTGGTGACACAGAGCGAGAAAATCTGAATTAGCCAGAGACTCAGCCACTGCCCAAAGGTGGAAGCAGGGAGGCAGACTCGTGGCAACAGACGTGGGGCCACGGGCCAGAACCTCAAACGCTGTTCAGGAAGTAACTGGGCAAAGCAGTGATCGTCAGCAGCCAGGTGGGACCAGACACACACAAAAGCCCTGGGACTCCTTCCTCCTCTCCCTGTTCGAGCCGGGAACACATTCCCTTATGCCCTCAGCAAATACTTATTAAGCGCCCTTGTAGGTGTTATTCAAACGAGAGACAGGAACTCCAAACTCCCGTCTCCCCGGAGCTGACACTCCCGCGGAGTGACGGCATGCACTAGTCGGCTCCAGCTGCTGTGACAAGAGCGCAGCCCGGGCTGCTTGAGAGACACACATTTACTGCTCACAGTTCTGGAGGCTGGAAGTGCAAGACCAGGTGTCCTCCGGGTGAGTTTCTGGTGAAGCCTCTCTCCCTGGCCTGCAGGCGGCTAGCTTCTCACTGCGTCCTCTCGGTGGCCTTATTCTGGAGACATCAGTGTCTCTTCCTCTTCTTCTACGGCCACCGGCCTGTTGGATCAGGGCCCTACCCTGCGACCTCATCTAACCACAATGGCTCCCTGAAAGGCCCCAGCTCCAGATCCAGTCACAGTGGCAGCTGGGGCGTCAACATGTCCATTTCAGGGGGGAACGCAACCCAGCCCACAACAGGGGAAGAGGAACACACAAAAGAGTAAGTCCATTACATCAGATATTAGAAGAGAAGAGGGAAGAGGGTGGGGAGGCGCGCTGGGTGTGTAAATTTAATGAAAGTGGTTGGGGGGCCTAGCTGTGGAGTGACACTTCAATGGGACAAACCGTTCAGCCCTGCTGCAGGGCCCCCGACCACAGGTGCAGGGCCCAGGTGCGTGTCCAGGAGCCGCAGGGAGGCCAGCTGGCAGGAGAGGAGGACATAGCGAGCAGATCACGTCCAGAGACAACAGATGAGGTCGGACCACCGTGGGGTCAGGTCACGTGAGCCCAGCAGGGCCCAGTGAGGATCTGGCTCCAGTCGTGGGGTTGAGGAGTCTTTTGAGCAGGGAGGATGGAAGCTTCAGAGCAAAGCAGCAACACGATCTGACCTCCACTCTGGCTGCTGGGTGGAGGAGGTTCTGTATCAGGGTAAAGGTTAAAGCAACATTTTAAAAATATTGCTTTTTAATTGAAGTGTAGTTGATTTACAATGTTAGTTTCAGGTGTACAGCAAAGTGATTCAGTTACACATACACATACCTATATTTTTTCAGATTATTTTCCATTGTATGTTATTACAAGAAATTGAATATAGTTCCCAGTGCTATATAGTAAATCTTTGCTGTTTGTCTGTTTTATGTACAGTAATGTGTATCTGTTAACCCCAAACTCATAATTTATCCCTCCTCTGCCCTTTCCCCTTTGGTAGCCATAGTTTGTTTTCTATGTCTGTGAGTCTCTTTTTGGTTTGCAAATAAGATTTGTCTACCATCATTTTTTTTAGATTCCACATATAAGTGTGGTATATATGCAATGGGAAACTACTCAGCCATGAAAAAGAATGAATACTGCCATTTGCAGCAATGTGGATGGACATAGAGATGGTCACACTAAGTGAAATAAGTCAGACAGAGAAAGATTAAAAAGAAATTTTTTTGAACTCAATGAGTTCTTGCTGGAAAGTCAGTCCCTGATTTTCCAGTTCTGTTTTGGACCCTGTAGAGAAAGCACAAAGTCACGGCCAGGAGACCTGGGGGGGAGCTCTCACGCTGATCGCGGACACGCCCTGACGCAGTGTCCCTGTCTGTGAAGTGGGGACAGTCTGGCAGCCTCCCCACCTCAGCAGGAACCAGTGCGAGATGAGAGTACAGGAACGCAAAGCTTGGGCAGTTCGGCTGCTCTTTGGCTCGGGGAGGTGGGGGAGGTCCCAGGGCGAAGCTGACGCCTCTCACCCTCCCCTCCTGGCTGGAGACACGGCGGGGCGTGGTGTCATGGCACCTGAAGTCACCCTGCACTGGGCCGCGCCTGAGCGGGAGGCTGGCTGGGGGGGTGCTCAGCAGATCGCCCCCCGAGCGCTTGCGCCTCCACCGTGACCCCGATGTACGAGAGGCATCGGGTCCCAAACGAGAGCTGTGTCAGTTTCCTGCTCTAAAAAATGCCCACAGGCTGCGGCTTCAAACAGCAGAAGCGCAACCCGCGGTCCTGGAGGCTGGATGTCCAGACTCAAGGCGTCAGCGGGGGCGGTTCCTTCTGGAGGCTCAGGGGGCGTCGGCCCCACGTGCCCGCTAGTGGCCGGGGGTTGCCGGCATCCCTACCAGCCCTCGGCCTGCAGGTGCGTCGCTCCCGTAACTGCCCCTGTCTTCACACAACCTCTGTCTCCAACGCACCGCGTATCCGAGTCCCTCTTGTCTTCCCAGCAGCCTGGCCCGACAGCATCTGCAGAGACCCTGCTTCCCAGGGAGGGCACAGGCACAGGCGCCGGGGTTGAGACCTCGGCTTACCTCTCGGGAGGACCACCTGCAACAAGGTGCGATCGAAGGCTTCCATCTTTGGCACTCGGAGAGGTGCCGGTGCTTTTTGCAGCAAAGTCAGGCTAGTGGTGGGATCCCAGTGAGTCAGCTGCTCCCATCTAACCGGTCACTGCTGACACCCGAAGTCTATGGCCCGCCCTTATCAGAGACCTCTGGACGCTCTGCATCCCCAAGGGTGGGGGCTCGGGAGGCAGGAGGAGAGCGGGATGGGGAGTGGTGTCCTAAGATGTTCCCACACATTTCCCAAACCTGGCACCGCTTGGGGAGACGTCGCCCCTACTGACGTCCAGTCCAGCGCGGTCATACGTAACTGGAGCTTAAACTCCAAAGTCCGCAAAGTAAAACTCGCGTACAGTCAAAGGCATGCTGGGAGGGGCCCTTTAGACGTTCAACAGCCGCTGCCCCACTTTCATTTGTCTTTGCATTTCGGCCGCAGGGTCCGTGGACACCAAGGTCCAGCTTGGGCTCCCTCCTGCGTCACCCCCCGTGTGCGTGACGGGGCAGTGGGCTGCCTTTCCGCTGTACTTGGGGAAGGATGCTCCCGTCCAGGTAAAGCCTTGAACTCTGCCTCCCGAGAGGAGGCGCCACACTCAGCCTCACTCTTCCCTTCAGCTGAGCTTTGAAGTGAGCAAATCTGAAACACTGAGCGCCCAGAGCACAGACTCGGGCTCCAGGGGATCCCACCTGTGGTCCATCGGCAGGAAGAATGGTCTGCAGGTGGACTGGCGACCCCCCGGGACACATAGGGTGCCTCCCACCCTCTTGGCAGCCCTGCGAGCCCCCACTGCATTTTCTGTCAACGGCACAAAGAGTTCCTTTGGGGCCAGCGCCCTGGCGGCGAGCCTGCGTCCCTCAGCCTGGCCTTGCTGCCACCCTCACGTCCGGGGACAGGAGGGGCAGGCTTTGGGGGAGTTATTCACCTGTTCACCCTGCTTGCTAATCCAGGAAGACGATGGCTGTGACCTGAGGAATATAAAAGCAGGAGGGCCGAGAGCCTCCCGGGGCTCTGACAGAGACATAGAGAACCCCTGGGTCTAATCGATGAAAACCGTAATGAACGGAGGAGGTCTGCCTCGGGGAAACTCCCATCTGCTCCACCCAATTATCCGGTCTCCTGAGGAGGCTCCTAAGTGCTTTGCCCCATTTAAGTGACATTTAAAGACCCGCCTTTGTGTTGGAGCGGGGGTGGCCTCCCCAGCACACATCAGCTTAAGTGCAGCAAATGGAAATGTTGTGCACACTTCTTGATTTATTGACTTACTTCTCGCAGTCAATTTCCCACCGGGAACGATCCAGGGCTGGAAGCCACGTAAAAATCTTCCAAATGCTGCTCAGAAACCGGGGTCACCCGCTGCATACATTGCCTGCTCCCTGAAATGACCGGAGAGAAATTCCTGAGCAGAATGAACTGCTAGGGGTTCAAGGTTACTCCCAAACACCAAACACAAGCGAGGCTTCCAATCAGCGCCTGATGAATGTACCAAAGTGAAGAATTTGATTTGCTGGTTTCCCACTAGGAAACGTATTGATTGATTATTTTCAGTTTCCTTTTTTTTCTTCTTTTTTTAGAAGGCTGTTACTGCTTACAATTTTACTTCCTTTAAACTTTTAAGAGGAAAATGACCCAATATTGGAATTTTTTGTATTTAGTGTTCTACGATGGCTTGTTTCTGCCAACGTGACCCTATACTGAGCAGAGCTGTGTGGGGGTTGGGGGGTTACTTCAGCTGCATTTTGGGGGACATGTCAGGATTCTGGCACAAATGTGTTACACGCAGTGTGGGCGTGGACAGTGAGACGCTTGGCTTCAGGACTTGTGAAGTCTGGGATTCAAGGTCCATCTGATTTGAGCCGTTCTGGTTCTTGGACCACAGCTGCCAAGTCAGAGAGACGTTCTAGAGAGGATGCCAAAGAAGAAACTACGCTTTCTGGGAAGACGCATGTCGGGGGCAAGACGTTTCAGTGGAGAGTCTCAGAGTAACATGTCAGTTCACTAAAACTGAGGAAGCTTTAACAAGCTCTTCTGGAAAAGTCTGCAGGCTTACATTTGAAATTAGACTCACATTCCTCAGCCTCCTAATTTCTACAGACACTGAGTTTTGGGGGGGCCTTTTTGTTTGTTTCTTTTTCAGAAGTCAGTGTCCTTTTCAGACACTAAGGAAAGTTCACCAGCAGATTAGTTCAAAATTGCTGTTTGGATTTTAAAATGATTTTAAAATTGTCTTCCTGTCATCTCTTCCTTCGACCAGTTACACACGTACGGAATTCTAAACGATTGAATGAATAAAGGAACAAGGGCTGTCCTCTATTCTACGGGACCCGGCATGAGAAGGTCCACAGTAAACATCTGCAGACCCCCTGGACCCCTTCTCATGGCTGACTTGCTTTGCCCAGTAGAACGAGGAGGGTGCGGGGCTTCCCGGCCAGCCCCCAGCCTGAGCCTCAACAGTGCATGCACGCCTGCATTTGTCCTTCCACCCATCATCACGAGCAGGACAGGCCTGGCCAGCCGCAGTCTCTGGAGGAAAACGAGAGCCGTGTGGGTCAGAGCCACTCCGGCCAAGCCCAGTCTAGGTCATCCCACCCTCAGCTGACCCTCAGACCCCTGAGCAGGAATGATGGCTGTTTCAGGCCACTGAGCTTTGGGGTGTTTTGTTATGCAGCAACTATGTGTCAATAACTAACAGATACACTCCCTTCTGGTGAACTGCTCGGTCCTCCCCATTCCACGTATTTTAGCCCACTGCACCTTCCACAACACCCACATCTGTTGCTTCTCAGCATATCATAGGCTAATATGGACTCCCAAAGACCCTTTAGCACCACCATTGATTTTCCAGTCCCCCTGTTTCCCTTGCATTGATGTTTCCATCTCCTGTAACTCTGGCACCCCGGGCTGGCTTGTCCTGCCCCAGTCCCCTCCTCTCCCTGCACTTGGCTTCCATTCCTGCCTTCCTCCTCCCCCACCTCTCCTGGCACTGTAGCACAGGACAGGTTCTTACCTTCCCCCTGGAACCTCTGCTGCCTTCTTTGCAGGAAGGAATTTAGAAATGCTCCGTGAAGGCATTATTCATACATGAGACATCGTCACTGTTGACGGGGCAGACTGGCCCCACCGTGGGCTCGGTGACCTCTGGTGCCAAGATCTCCTGGCAGAGGCAGCCAGGCTTCTGCAGAACAGGCACAACCTTGTCTGGCAGCAGGCAGTCTCTGCCAACAGCAAATTCCGTCGGCTGCAACTGTTATTTGACAGCATTTGTTAACATACTAATGACAGGAAAAGGCTTTTGCCAGAAATATCTCATACTGGGTCCTCCTCTCAGAAAGAAAGGAAGGGGCTGTGTGGGGAGCTAGAGCTGGCGCCCCCTGGAAAGGGCCCCCATTTCTCCAGTGTCATTTTAGAGTGGGGGGTCTCAGAGGTAGACACTCACCTGTCTGTTGAACCCCAAAGTCACACAATTTGGTTGCAGGGGACAGGGACCCACACAGGCTAGCCCACAGAAACGTTATGTCTCCATCAGGACCCTCACAGCAAAGACGGCACATTCAGATGAAGAAGACTCAAGATGGGCTTAAGAAAGGCTGCGCACAAGGGTGAGTCTTCTGGGGAGCACAAGGGTGAGTCTTCTGGGGAGCCCGAGGGAACATGGAGTGGCCCAGAGCTGGTGACAGCAGGGCTGCCCCAACTTCCAGACCCACAGGGGCAGGGAGGAGCTGATTAGAAGAATCAAGGAGGAGAGAGCTACATACAGAGGTGACTTGAGGTGACATAACTTCAGTTGAGGGACCCAGCTGGCCCAAGGCAACCACACACAAGGAGGCAGCCAAGAAGTCGACACACCGTCCTCGCCCTCTCTGTCCCTCCGAGCTCCTCTGGGGCCTCCACGGGTCGAGCCCAACGGGAAGCCAAGGACAGTTTGCTCCAGTGATGTCATCCATGCGGACCAGCTTCCTGGGCTGAGAGTAGCGGGAAGACGAGTGGAGAGTGGGTCTCGGTATTTGTAGCTCTCAGGCAAACCCCAAGACAGCTGGTCAGGCCTGGGCTCCACCAAGTCTGACGCTGAGAAGGACTCAGAGGTACTGGCTTTGACTGGTACAGCAAGACCTGCAGATGCGGACGTGACAGTCACGAAGGGGGAAGTCTTTATACTCGCGGATCTCCAGAAACAGGAGGCTGAAGCCACGCAGGGCCGCACAGGGAAGCACCGGGGTGGGTCAGCAGGTGGCGGAGGGGCACCGTGGACCGGCGCCCCGTGTGGCTTCTGCAGAAGGAATGCACAAGGCAGGGCCAGCAGGCTTGGGGTCAGCTAGTTTGGGTCATTCCAGCAGGCTCTGGGGCACAGGGGCAGGGGGACAGTGAGGAGGGCGGGGGGGCAGGGGCCCAGAGTGTGGGAGCCCACGGAGGAGGGGGTGGGGGGTGGGCTCTGGGTTGGCTGGTTTGCATTTGAAACCTATGCCCACGGGTGAGTTGTTTGTTATCTCTTGGAATCAGGTAGGCCCCAAGGTGTCAAAGCATCAAGATACAAAAAATAAATGAAGTGATGAACACACTGGGGAGGCCAGAGAAGAAAAGAGGTTGGAAAGGGGAGGGGGTACTGACAGCAGCCGCTACACGTTCCGGCAACTTTTTAGTAGCGCTGCTGTGCCTGAAGGCCTGCGTCACAGGCAGGAGAAAGCCGCGCGTGCTGGGTCCTGCCGTCACGTGTGACGTGGACGCAGGGACTTCGGGTGGGGCAGGTGGAACAGGACCCCCGTGTGTGCAGGCACCGTCAACACGTACGGTCCTAGATCTAGTCTGTGCCAGGAGTGGGCACCGGCGGGTCCCAAAGCAGCTGACCACACACGTCGTGGTTCCCTGAGCCAGGCTGGCCAGGAAGACACCGTCCGCTGGCTTCTCAGGACACGATGTTTTCTGCTGAACGAAACACGATGTTTCTGCTGAACGAAACACAGAGCACCGGGGGAGGTCTGGGGCGTCTGCATGGGGAGCCGGGAGAGCGGGCAGAGAGGACGCGCGTGGGGGAAGTCGAGGTGTGCAGGGCAGGGCAGCGGCCCCTGGAGAAAGAGCCTTCCTGAGGCGCAGAGGGTGGGGGCTCTCACTGCATTCTTGTCTTGCATTAGAAAAATATTCCACATTGAAAACTGACAGTCTCCAGAGTGGAAATACCAAAAATCTTCAAACAAGGCAATTAATTTTCCCATTCAACTAGAGGTTTCTTTTGGCAAACTCTGAACATTAACGTGGCTGGAAGTCAATTCGTCACCCACATTGAAAATAAGAGAGTCATACATCAAAAGGGAAATGAAAAAAGGTCACGAGGGCACATGAAAATGGACCGGTTTCCAGAGTGTCCTTTGAAAAGTAGTATCAGATGTGTCCACTGGTTTCCAAGCTAATGGGCACAGCGGGGCTGCTGGGCTCTCCTTTTTGGGGTGCCTTCTCCCCAGCACCCCTGGGGGCAACCTCTTTGACACCCAAGAGAACTCGCCCTGCTCCCAACAGCCCTCCCTCTCGGGCGACAAGCGGGGGTCCCTGCCCTGGGGAGAACGTTTCAGGCCCCTGAAATGCAGCATCACGAGAAAACGCTCGAAGTCCAGGATGGTTACAAACGCCTTTCTTCATTATGATTTTTTCCCCTTGAGCTTGCTAATTAAATCATTAAAATTTTATCTTCGCTTAACCATGGATAAGAACCATTGGAAATATTTAATTAGTATGCTGCGAGGGGTACACGGGAGCCGGGAGTCTCTGCAAGTTGGGACCGTTAGGAAGGGAGGCGGAGGCAGGCGGGGCGGGAACAGGGACACAGGAGGAGAGCTAGGGAGACAGGGCGGACGGTCCACTTACAGACGACTCTGCCACCCTCCCGCCGCGATGGGAGCCAGCAGAGGAGTCGGCCCCACCTGCCCGGTCCTGCGCCTCTGCCTTTGCTCCCAGCTTTGGCCGGCGGCCAGGCTCTCACCCGGAGAGGCATCTGTGTGCACGTGCCTGCCTCTGCGTGTGCACATGTGCGTGTGTGTGCACGTGCAAGAGACGGCGAAGACGAGACGGAGCGGTCCCGGGCCCTCGGCCAACAGTCTAAACTGCATTTCAACTTTTACATGCATTTACATTCAGGGTCTCCGAGTTCCCTGCCCTCCTCCCACTCCCAGCCAGCAAAATAAAATATCATGAAATAAAATTGAAGTAGTGCCACTCCGAGGTCAAGCTAATATTCAGCAGGTTGGGAAAAAGGGCCCCTGGGAATCGACGCTGCCAGTTCCAAGCCAGTCCCGGGTGCCCAGCAGCTTGCTAAATGCTTTCTAGGATCTCACATCATCCCGTGACCACGCCAAGGTCGGTATTACCATCTCCTTAGCCACGACGGATCTATTCCTCTGGCTGCATAACAAAGACCACACACTCGGTGACTTAGAACAACATGTATGGCCGCACAGTTCTGGAGCCGGGAAGCCCGAGGTCCCGGTGTCCGCAGAGCTGTGCTCGCCCCGACACCTGCAGGGGACCCTTCCCCTGCCTCTTCCGGGTTCAGGCAGCCCCAGATGTTCTTGGGTTTGTGGTGGCCTCTGTCCCATCTTTACAAAGCATTTTCCCCGTCTTCACATCCCCTTCCCTCCACATGTGGGTCTGAGTCCAAGTTTCCTCTCTAACAAGGACACAAGTCCTACTGGATGGGGGCCCACCCCAATGACCTCACCTTCACTCTACCTCTGCAGAGACCCCGTCTTCAGATAAGGCCACATTCCCAGGGCCTAGGGGTTGGGACTGCAACATGTCCTGCTGGGGACACAAGCTGACCCAGCACCAGGCCTGGGAGAGATTTTGAAGCTCATGCAAGGTCATCGGGCTGCCAAGTGTGGGAGCTGGATTCACAGCCCAGGCTGACCTCGGCGCCAGCCTGCTAACAGCTGTGCTGTTCGGGGGGTGTCCGAGGCCTTACATGCAGGGGCTTCTGCTCCCCGCCACCTGCTCCCAGAAGGTCCCAGTCCTGGGGTCATCCAGGCACGGCCGGGGCCCAGAGCCGGTCAGCCCCTTCTCTCCTGGAGGCTGCTGTGTTTGTGCGTCACTGCTGTTTGGTGGGATGTCAGGGTTCACCACACACACGGGTAGATCTCCATGAGCAAGGTCCCAGGGGCCTTGCAGGGCAACCCCCCCAGCTCCCCCAGCTGCCCTGCTCATTCCTGGCCCGAGGGCCAGCAGGACAAGGTGACGGGAGGGGACGAAGTGATGCTCTCCTGGCTGGGGCCTGAGGATGTTGGGATCAGAGGGGCCTCTCAGACCCTCCTTGTGTCCTGACCTGGGGTCAC